GCACATTGTGGTGACTCCATATTCAGCTGGAGTTCACTCTTTCCTCCAAAAAACCACCATGTTTATTGATTTTTTCCCCTTCATTTCATGGCAGGCAAGTGAAAGAATGCATAGAACATGGCACCAGGACAAAAAGAACATCAAGCACTGGGTTTGGAAAGATACCGTACCATCAGGAGGCAAGTGGGTGGTGAACAGAGTGAATAGCCAGTGTTTTGGTGTTTTGCCTTGTCTTGGAAAGAATCAAAGTCCTTAAAACTGTGAAAAGTCATATATAAAGGAATGCTGAATAAAAGCACTTAGAACAAAGACTAAGGACTCTGAAGATGATAAGGTCCAAAAGCAAGCAAAAGCAGTAATAGTCCAGTGAACACCAAAGGGAGGCTAACAATACAAGCTAAGAAGAGAATCAGGAGGTTCCAGAAAAAGAAAAACCCAACATCTACACCAGGCTACTGTCTTTTCTCAACCCAGCTTTATAGATTTTCTCAGCCATGCTTTTTACTTTTCTTATAAAGACCTAAGCTAAAGTTCCCCTGGACATACTGGTATAGATTCTTATGGTCTGTGTGGATCTGCTTTGATTCTTGAAATAAAGATTCTGGTGTTCTTCATGGAGAAATGCAGTTGGGACAAATCTGTTGTATCCTTCACATCTCTTCCAATGGCTGAAACTATAAATGTATTTTTTTCCCAAATCATGAAATAAAAAAAGATTCTGGTGTTCTTGTATCAGAAGATAGAAAAATTATCAGGTTAGACATCTTTCTAGGGCTATTACAATTCAGATGTTTACTAAGCACTTTTATCAGCTAGATATATGCTAGCCGCCTGTAAAGGTGATTAAAGAGGCACAAACAAGGAAGGGAAGACAGCTCCATCTGTCCATTAAAGATGCTGGCAGCCCTGAGAGAGAGGTCCAGGCATGGGCCAATCTGTCACATCCCAGCTATGCATGTTCTATGGCACTTAAAAAAAATTTATTGGTGCATGCTAATTATGCATAAAAGTGACATTCTTTGTGACATATTCATACTTTCAGATAAAATAATTTGATCAACTTCCCAAGTACCTCCCCTTTCCCTCCCTTTTTCCACAACCCTGATCCTTTCCTCTACTTCACCATTCTCCCTTCGGTTTTCATGAGGTGTCTTTTTTACTTTTTTTCTCTCTGGCTTCCACATATGAGATAAAACATTTGTCCTTGACTTCCTGAGTCTAACTTATTTCATCTAATATAATGCTCTTTAGTTTCATCTATTTTCCTGAAAATGACATAATTTTCTTCTTCTTTATGGCTGAGTAAAACTTCATTGTGTATATAGACCACGTTTTCTTTATCCACTCATCTGTTAGTGGACGTCTGGACTGGCTCCATAACTTGGCTATTGTGAGTTTCACTGCTGTAAACATGGGTATGCAAGCATCTCTATCATATGCTGACTTTAATTTGAGGGGGGCGGTAAATACTAGGGAACCGGATCACCATTCCTAGTCTTTTGAAGAACGTCCTGACTGACTTCCATAATGGTTATATTCATTTTCATTCCTATCAACATTATATAAGAGTTCTATTTCCCCCATACCTTACCAGCATTAATTGTTTCTTGTATTTTCTAATTGCTGCATTATAATTACACATAATAGTGGAATTCATTGTGCCATATCTGTATATGCACATAACATACTTTCATCAGTCTTATTCTCCAATACCTCCTTGTTCACTCCCCTCCCCATCCTTCTGATCCTCTTGCTCTACTCCACTGGAGTCCCTTCTATTATTATTAATTAATAACTCTTTATTTCATAGTGCATTATATTTGTACTTAATAATGGAATCCATTCTGGCATTTTCATTCTGGACATAGCATAATTTGGTTGATTTCATTCCTCAGGATTTCCCCATGCTTTCTTCTCTTCCTTCCTTCTTGATCCCCTTTCTCTACTTTATTGTTCTCCCTTCTATTTTATTTATTTATTATTTATTTATTTATTTTTGCATTAAAATTCTTAATACACCACTCCCTTCTATTTTAATGAGATTTTATTTCTTGTTTTTTTTCTCTCCAGTTTCCACATATGAGAGAAAATATTTGACCCTTGACTTTTTGAGTCAACCTTATTTCACTTGATGTAAAGCTCTCCAGTTTTATTCATTTTACTGAAAGTGACATTATTTCATTCTTCTCTGTGACTGAGTAAAACTCCATTGTGTATATTTTCTTAATCTATTCATCTGTGCATGGACACCTAGGTTGCTTCCATAACTTGGTTATTGCCAATTGCATTGCTGTTAACCAATGTCTGCATATATCACTATATTATTTAGTTCTTTGGGGTAAATATCAAGGAGTGAGAAACCTGGGTTACATGGTGGCTCCATTCCTAGTCTTTTGAGGAACCTCTGTGATGATTTCCATAGTGGTTTTACTAATTTGCTGTTCTACCAACACTGTAAAAGGGTATTTTCCCCCCTGCATCCTTACCAGAATTTATTGGTATTGATAATCCCCATTCTAACTGGAGTGAGACAGATCTTGATATAATTTTGATTGGTATATCCCTGATTGCTGAAGATGTTGAAGATTTTTTCATATATTTGTTGGTCATTTGTACTTCTTCTTTTGAGAAATTTGTGTTTAGTTCATTTTCCCATTTATTGATTGTTATTTATTGCAGTTCTTGCATGTTTTTAGTTCATTATATATTCTGCATATTAACCTTCTGTCAGAAGAGTGTATGGTAAAGATTTTCGCCCATTCTGTGGGCTCTTCCTTCACCCTATTGTTTCCTTTACTGTGTAGAAACTTTAAAATTTGATGCCATCCTGCTCGTTAATTTTTGGTACTGTTCCTGAGTTTTAGGGATCCTTCGGAGGAAGTCATTGCCTACGCCTGCACGATGCAGGGCTGCCCCGTGTTTTCTTCTAACAGTTGCAGTTCTAGTCTAACTCCTAGGTCTGCGATCCAATTTGGATTGACTTTTATGTAGAGGGACAGACAGGGATCTAGTTTCACTCTTCTACATAAGTACATCCACATTTCCCAGCAACATTTGTTAGAAAGGCTGTCTTTTCTCCAATGTATGTTTTTGGCACCTTTGTCAAGAACCAGATGACTGTATCTGTGTGGGTTTGTCTCTGTGTCTTCTATTCTGTATCACTGGTCTATGTGTCTGTTTTTAGGCCAGTACCATGCAGTTTTTGTTACTATGGATTTGTGGTGTGATTGAAATGAGGTAACGTGATACCTCCAGCATTGATTGCTCTTTTAGCTCAGAATTGCTTTGGCTTCTCAGGATCTCTTATTCTTCCACATGAATTTTAGGATTGCTTTTATACTTCTGTGAAGAATGTTGGTATTTCGATGGAGATTGCATTAAATCTGTAGATCACTTTTGGTAATATGGCCATTTTAACAATATTGATCCTGCCTATCCAAGAACATGGGAGGGCTCTCCATCTTCTGGTGTCTTCTATTTTTTTTTTCAGTGCTTTGCTGTTTTCATTGTACAGCTCTTTTACCTCTGGTTAGATTTATCCCTTGGGTTTTTAAATATTTTGTTTTATTGTTCGTTTTTGAGGCTAAGTGGAATTGTCTTCCGATTTTTTTTTTTTCTCAAACAATTCAACTGGTGCATAGAAAGCTACTGATTTTTATATGTTAATTTTGTATCTTGATAACGTTGCTGAATTTGTTTCTCAGCTCTAGAAGTCTTCTGGTGGAGCTTTTGGGATTTTCTAAGTATAGATAGGTTTCCCTATTTGTATCCTTTTTATTTTCTTATTTTATCTAATTGCTCTGGCTAAAACTTCAAGTACTATATTGAATAGGAGTGGTAAAAGCAGATACCTCTGTCTTGTTCCTGATTTCAGAGAAAATATTTTCGGTTTTCCCCGTTCAGTATGATATTGGCTTTGAGTTTGTCATATATAAACTTTATGATGGTGATTTTTTTCAGGACTTTTATAACGAATGGGGTGCTGAATTTTGTTGAACACTTTCTGAATCTATTGAAATGATCATGTGATTTTTATCGTTGGCTCGTTTTATGTGATTGAGTTGAATATGTTGAGTTACTATTGAATCCTGAAAAGGAGACCAACTTGATCACTGTGTACAGGTTTGTAATGTGTTTCTGAATTCTGTGTTCTCATATTTTATTAAGGATTTTTGCATCTATGTACATCAGTGATATTGGTCTGTAATTTTCTTTCCTTAATGTGTCTTTATCTGGTTTGGGTATCAGGGTGATACTGGCTTCATAGAATGAGTTTGGAGGTATTTCCTCCCTTTCTGTTTCATGAAATAATTTGAGAAGCATTGGCATTAGTTCTTTTTAAAAGTCTGGTAGAATTCAGCCATGGATCCTAGAGTTTTCTTTGTTGGACAGTTTTTTTTTTTTTTTTTTAAATTTCTGCCTCAATCCCATTGCTTGATATTGGTCTTCTTAGGTTTTCTATATCCTCTTGGTTCAATTTTGGTAGGTTGTATGTGCCTAGAAATCTGTCAATTTTTTCTAGATTTCCCATTTATTGGAATATAAGTTTTAAAAACAATCCCTAATGAAATCTTGATTTCAGCAATGTTTGTTGGGACATCTTTTTTACCTCTAATTTTATTAATTCAGGTCTTCTCTCTTTCTTTTGATTAGTTTGGCTAAGAATTTACCAATAATATTTATCTTTTCAAAGAACCAACTCTTTATTTCATTGATTCTTTGTATTTTTTATTCACTATTTTACTAATTTTTGTTCTGATCATCATTATTTGATTCTTTCTGTTGGCTTTAGAATTGGTTTGTTGTTTTTCTAAGGCCTTGAAATGACCATTAAGTTATTTATTTGGAAATTTTTCTGAATTTTTAAGTAGCACTCAAGCTATGAACTTTACTTTTAGAATTGTCTTTGTAGTATCCAGAGGTTCTAGTAGGTTATATTTCTATTTTCATTTGATTCTAAGAATTTTAAAATTTCTCACCTGATTTATTCAATGACTCACCTGTGACACTTTTAACAGGACCTAAGGTACCACAGGATACACCTTTCCCATACGAAGGGAGTTCCTTGACCTGAGGCAGCTAGATTTAGACACTTCTACAGAAAAAAAGAGAGAGAGAGAGAGAGAGAGATTCTATGAAGCCAGTATCACCCTGATACCCAAACCAGATAAAGACACATTAAGGAAAGAAAATTACAGACCAATATCACTGATGTACTATGGCCTACCTGTTTCCTCTTGTACACATGCTGGTTCTTTTAAAAAAGGAACCTCAAGTTCCCTGGCAGGAAGTGATCCTAATGGCTTTGCAAACGCTCCTAGGAAAAATTTGAGTCATGAATGAATGCATACAAATATAGTCATAAATCTGAAGCCCATGTGAAATGTGGCTGATCCCAAGCCTTCCCATAAGGCTCAACTTCCACATTAAGGTTAAACATGGAATTTGCAACTCCAGTTATATCATCTGATTTTGATCAAGGGCAGAGGATATTCTCTCAGCCTTCAAAGAATGTGATATTATTCCCCAGATAGCACACAAACACTCCATGATTTGTGGAGTCCCAATGGAGCTGTGTTTTGCCTCTGGTGAAAATGAATTTCCATGGAAAATGTGACACAAACACTACTTCTTGGGTCTCAACTGAATCAGATTGTACATCGGAATTTTCTGGTTAAAATTTTACTTTGGGGAAGTGAATCTCAAAGACCTGATGAGGACCCTGATAGTTTTCTAGGACTTTCCTGAGGCCCCAATGACCTGTTCTGTTTATTCAAGTTGTTAAAAGGGAGTCAGTCATGTAAATCAGGGAAAGAATGTGAATTCAGATCTGGGTTTGAATTCGTAACCTGCTACTTCCTTACTCTGTGATATTAGACAAATCATTTTTTCTGGGGACCTAACTTACAGGGTTGATGTGAGATCCTATGTTCTGTATAAGTACCGAATGCTAACCGATTGCGCCACTGGAGCATCCAAGAGATCCTATATTCTGTACATAAGATAATAAAAGGATTATGTGAAAGATAATAGACAAGAATAGGGATCTTAATCCAGTTTCAAACTTCACTAATAATTTCAACAAAATGAGCAATCTCAAGGCTGGGGTGAAGCAGGAGTAATATAGCTCCCAAAGTCCTATCAAGCCTCACCAAGATATCCTCTTGCCCAGATGAACACAGGTCTTCAAGCCACGTATGTGGTCACATTACCTCACGGAAAAGAGCCATCATGAAATATCTTCATATCATGCTCAGATATAGAACTTAATCATAGAACCCATCTCAGTATACCAATAGATTCTAGATTTGTTATAAATGAGCAAGCTAGGCCAGCCAGGTACTTCTTTCTAAGAGAATTCCATAGATAAGAACCCTGGGCTAACAAATATCATTAGTGCGTTTACCTGGAAGTCTGCATGGTCACATGAAGACTGGTTTGTGTTCTTTCTCATGGATTCTCCCTTAATATGGAGAGAAAATTTATTATAGATATAGGGTATTGACAACATTTGAGCAGCCATCTTAAATGTTAACCACCATCTTATGAGATAAGTTTCACTTTCCTGTACTTCCTCTTACCTGAATTTCCCCCACCCCCATTAGTGACCTACCCCATGGTACCATAACCCTAAGTCAATCCCAGAAGGACACGACCCCTTTGCTCTGGAAAGCCCCATGGCACCATCACCTAAGCCAATCCCATGCTATTCCCACCCGCCTAGCTCTGATGCATGCACTCCCAAGCCTATCCCATAGCAACACAGCTACACCGCCAAGCCCCTGCCCCACAAAAGCTGAACCCCTGAACATCTCGGGGCCTCTCTCCACTCTACAGAGGGATGGCCTTTATTTGTCAGCTTTGATCTCGTCTGGTCTCCATCCTTCATTTCTAGCTCACCGGTCTCTCGCTTTCTCACTTTCCTTTCAATAGACCTGTTGCTAAACATTTCCTCCTCCAAACTTAACCCAGACTAAGAGTTAACATGTATAGATTTTAGCACATTATTGAGAATAGTCATGAGAAAAGGATTCTGTTTACATTTTCATTTCTGCTTGACTTCCCAGATCTTGTAAATCTAGCCTGCCTGTCTCCTGACACCATCCATCTAGGGCTCAGTTTCCCAACTGTGTGTGACTCTTATTTCTACCTTTTCTTCTTTTGGTCTTGCGTTCAAATACTACTAATCCAACCTGGCCCTGCTTAGCTTTGGAGACCAGATGAGATCAGGCAAGTTCAGGGTGGTAAGCCAACAGACTATCCTCTCATTCTATTCCATTGCTCTACCCATCTCTGAGGGCCGACAAAGTGTCACTTTCTCTTGGAAAACTTCCAAGCCTACATAGGTCCTCACTGATTTCACCGCTTTCTACCCTTTATGATCCATAGTCTAACACCGAACACAAGAGTGTCTTCTGAAGCAGTTTCTTACTTTTACATGCATGACACTCTTGTTCTCTAAAAGGATTGTAAGCTCCCTTAGAACTCAGAACTCCAGCTAACTTCATTGGACTCGTTCACATCTGGAAGCATCCCTTGATCCACTGCCCCAACAGATGTGGTCCCCCGATGCTGGACCCCTTAGCTTCTCACTTACCATACTGTGATGAGATCATAACGCCTGCTTTAATTACTGTCTTTCTTCCTGGGCTGCAAACTCTGCCAAAACAGGGTCGTGTCTCTCTTGCTCACTCTTACTGCCTGACTCAGCACCTGACAAATAGAGATAATTAATAAATATTTGTTAAAGAAATAGGTTTTCTGGTGGTAAAAGGAGGTGGAGCAAGGAAACTCATTAATTTATATGATGAACACATGGAGAATCTGCTCTGGGTACTCAGAATGCAAAGATGAATAAGTCATGATTTCTGTCGTCTGGTCTCTGGTCTGAAAATGTTTGAGGAAATTTCTTTTGCATTAACAGTTGAGCCTCCAGATATGTACAAACAGTTGTGTGGAAAAAAATCAAAACCAAATCCTATTAATTAATACCAGTGATTTACTGGCAGAAAAAGAAAACAATGAGGGGGATGCAGACCTGGAAGGGTGTGGGTCCTCTCAGGAAGACTTCCTCCCTGGTGCCCCTTCTTTCTCCCCAGATGGCCACCAGACAGGGCTTACCACTGGCTCCAATTCACGCAAAAACAAATCCTTAAGTTTGAGTTTAAACTTAGTAGCTAGTATATCCTTCTCTTGCCCCTCGTCTCTCTTTCCTTACCCTACATTTGTGTAGATATAGGCTAGGACATGTCTCTGGAAACTTTTTTTTAATGATGCCATTGAAATAACCTTCCAACCTATTGGTCACAGATTTTGGCCACCAGCCAACAAATTCAAAGGTAGGCGCTAATAACTATAATGTTCAATTAAGATAATAACATATTTAATTTTATTCATCTTAATTTCACCCCTGTAACAAAAACCATCTTGATTGTCATTGTTTTCCCTAAGTCAATAAATTTCTCATGGGTTTTCTACAAGTTGACTCCATTCCCCAGTTTTCCAAGAAATAAGGGAAATAAGGGATATGGTGTCATTAGCCAGGTCTTATGGACACCAGAACGAAGCTCTGGTTGACCAGTCTCTCAACTCCTCCTTGGAGAAGGAGCTGAGATTATGGGATGGGGTTATGGATGGATTGGCTGATGATATTTTCTCAAGCCAGATGAGTAACTCCCTCCTACCTCCTTCCCTCCCTTTCTCCCTCACTTCCTGTCTTTGCTTTGTCCCTCCCGTATTTTCCTTATTCGTTGTGTGCCAAATAATTGTTTCATCGACACCAGCATCACCAGCTGCCTTCAGCCATGCATCAAAAAGACTGATTCTGTCAGAACAACCTGCTGGCTGCTTCTTTATTTCCAATTAAATTGTTCCTCCCACAAACGCTCCTCTCTCTTTCTTCCCTCCTGGGAGGTAACCTCCAAGGCCACTGCTGTTCTCTTCAAAGCCTTTCTCCATGCCTCGCCCTCCTTGGTGGCCATATGTTAGTTACTATCCCTCTGCCCTCCCACTAAACTGGAGCTCTTTGAAGGCAGGATCTGCATCTCATTTGCTGCAGCGCTCCCAGGGCCTTCGAAGGTGGATGTTGAGTGGGTGTTTGAATTTAATGAACACATCGAAACAACGTTGAGTCTATGAGCAAACACTTAGTGTCAGGGAGGTACAAAAAGAAGCAGGTTCACTGAGTCAGCGTTGGGCCTTTCATCCATCTGTGATGGAGGTACTAATGGCAAGTGCTCCTCTGGGCTGCAACATCTGACCCTGTGAAGTCAGGGTTACGGAGATTCAGTAAGAGGAAAGGACAAAAGAAATTTCAACAGAACCTATGGAGTCTCTGGAAACCACTGGACAGCCTTAATTTAAAGAAAAACTTGGGGCGAATAAAGCAAAAGAACACCTTCAACTGGTTTCAATGAAGCCAATGTAACCCCTCCCTGACTAGCAGAAGTCAGCCCATTTTTCCCTCTTTTTGCACCATTTAAAGCTCTGATCAATGATCCCAGATGGTTCTAGTCTCTCAAATGGATTTTAGTGCCATCTTTAAAACATTCATTAGGACTGAACATGAAGGCAAAGAGAATCACGATTACTTGAGAAGCTTCAGCTACTTCCTCCCTCATCCTGTCTCAGGAGATCTGTAGCCCAGAAATCCACTTGGAGACCTTGCTTATGGGGTGTCCTGAGGAATGTAGACACTGTGAAACCAGAACCTCAGAGTGTCTTGTGCACAGCCTCTCCCTGATGTGCCCACGAGTCAGGAGTAGCTGGACCTCTAAAAGTGACAGATCAACCGTTGATCAAGGCTGACACGGATTGAAGTAAAATCTGCCTTGTAGTGTAAATTCAACCCTGCAATTCCTAAAGCCACTCAGCCTGGCCTGCCTCCTGACTGTACAGTCTAAACTAGACAGGGTGGAACGAATCTAATTATTTTATTTTATTAGTGGCTCTCTGTGAACAGTCCTAGCCTCAGGCACCTGGCCCTCTAAGACAGCCCATTAACTCATCCTTGGATGCAGACATTTGACCAATGGATAAGCAGTTGGCACAAGCGCATTAAGTCCCTCCGAGGAAGGGTGCAGTCATATTATTTGACACAAATCATCATGACTTAAACACAGAAACAGGATAGAAGAAGTTTAGTGGCTGTGGTTTGCTTTCTCTCTGATGCCCTCAATTGCTCATCAGAGGCTTCAAGTGGATTTGCAGCTATTTGGCCTTGGAGTTTCCAGAATTCTGTCCTAGAAAGATAAGTGTTTTTTAAGAAGGAATACAAACTGCTATCCTTAACGAATCTCTTACCTTGTGCCAGGAGATGTACCAAAGCCTTTTCCACAAGTCACCTGGGTATTAGTCTGCCGGGGCTGCCATAACAAAATACCACAGAATGGTGGCTTAAACAATCAGAGTGTGTTTTCTTACAGTTTTGGACACTAGAAGTCCCAGATCAAGGTGTAGGTAAACTCAGTTTCTGGTGAGGCCTCTTCCTGGCTGACAGAGACTTGATTTCTTGCTGTGTCCTCACATGGCCTTTCTTCCATGCACACCATGGGGGCAGGGGGGACGAGTGTCATGTCTGCTTTCTTCCAAGGATACCAGTCCTGTTGAGTGAAGGCTTCCCCTTCTCCCTCTCGATCCTAACTCCAAATACAGTCACATGGCAGGACAGAGCAACAGCATAAGGGGATACATTCAGCTCGTGATATCCTCATCGAGGCTTCATGACCAGCTGGCTGAGTCAAGGGCATCCTCTCTATTTGATCTGTGGATAAACAGAGTCAGTATCTTGCTGAAAGTCTCACTACCAATAGGTAAGCTGTGGGTGTGGCTTCTTTCCATAGAAGAGAAGTGGAGAGATGGAGGATTCTTTTAAATAAATGAGGGGCTGCTCCCAGCGAGGTCAGAAGGGAACTGGCAGGTGGAAACTAGAGTGGGGCACCGAGCCCTCGGCTGTTCAGTTCGGTTAAACGTGTCACAAAATCGTGTGACGGGTGTGTCCCAGGGCGCTGGGTTCCGGGAGAAGAAGGCAAGAAGATGTGGGCCTGTCGTCCAGGAGCTAGCCATCTCAGCCACAGGGAAGGACGGCTTCTTTTCCAGAGAGAGAAAACTGCCAAAGAGGAAAATATCCCCTTGGTTCCCTTCCTTCTCTGGGAGACACTTTTGGGTCTCTGTTTGATGTCTCTGTCCTCAGAGGCCACCTCCAATCTAACAGTGACAGCATACCCAGGGTCTTCATCAAGGTGACCCTTCTTTCCTTGTCCCCCATCCCACTATCCAGAATTGTCCTGATCTGCTTCCATCAGAATATCTTGGGTCCAAGTCCTAGTCCCCCAAGGCAGATCTCTCAGCTAGGAAAGGAAAGGTTCACTGGTTGCTTCTCCTGGGTAATATATTGATATTTCATTAGTGGTCTCAGGAGACTGGTGACTTGTGGCACAAGTTTTAGGTGTCACAAAGGGCAAAGTGGTGGGAACTTTCTGACGGCAGGTGGGTTTATCAACAAACCCACAGTGAGTGAGACGGCACCAATCCCGGGCTTTTCACAGATAAGGCTGTTCCTGCTTGGACCCAGAGCTGGGCCCAAGGGTGTGTCCCGGCCCTGTCAGTGCTTCACTCTTCGCCCTTAGACTGGACCTTCCAAAATGTGAAAGACCCTGTGCTTCTGGTCACCTGCTCCTCTAGGAGCAGCCATCAACCAGCCTCTCTGCAGAGGTAGGGCATCAATCCTCTGCTCCCTCGTCCCTTGCACAGGATGTTCCCAAGCACGTGGTGCTCCATGACTCCAAGTTTCCCCCGTCTCAGTCACTCACAACTGAAGCTGGCATAATGACACACCGTGATCGGCTGTCTCCCTTCCCCTCTGTCACTCTCTCACTGCCGAATAGTGTTTCCTGTACTTTACAAATCAGCTACTTGCATCCAGATCCTTTTCTCTAGGTCATCTTCTAGAGTATTCAAACTAACACACGGTGACAGTTAGAAAAGGGGACGGAGCAGGGCAGCTGGATGGGGACCAGCCAGGCTTTCTCATCAGCCGTGCCTGGTGGGCAGCTCCCTGTGGGCAGCCTCACCAGCACCACCCTTCCCTCCTCCGCCAGGCCTCTGAGAGGGGGGAGCCCATCCAGAGCTGGTCAACCTGTGGGGACATCAGGAATGCACAGCCCCAGCTCACCGTGACTCTAACCTCTCTGGGTGGAATCTTTCCTGGAGTTGACTCTTCTAGGGCACAGGGTCCCTGGGAACTCACCTGTTTCCAAGGCTGTACGGAATTTGAGGTCAGCAATGCCCCATTTGGATTTTTTTGAGCTAAGTAACTACTTTATTTCTCTGGGCCTTATTTTCCTCATATGTAAAAAGGGGGTAATATTAGCTGCTATAAAATACAGTTGCAAAAGTGATAATAATAACTAATGAGATTCTCAGAGGATCACATATAGTCGATGGAGCTCAGCAGCCCTGTGGGGGTGTATCCCAAGGCCTGGGTTCAAATCTCTAGAAACCAGATGAGTCTTGGAGTTCAGCATCTGGGTTTAGTGAAGGCAACAGAGTGCATATAATATATATATTACAGAACTACCTTCAAGGTCTTGGGCAATCCCATAAATTCAAACATAAATTTTCTTTACCAAAAAAATAGTGTGTATGTATGTATGTATATGTATGTATGTATGTATGTGTATGTATGTATATGTATGTGTGTGTGTGTATATATATATATATATATATATATATATATATATATATATATCTCACTATATATATCACTATATAGGTGAAGGCTGCAGAAAGTTTCAATTTGGAGTTGCAGATAAAGGACTGTGGCTCAGAGAAGTTGAGCAATTGCTCAAGGTCACACACAGGGATTTGAACCCTGGACGCTGGCTAGAACCCCCGTTCTAACCACTACCTCCAGCAGACCATCCCTCTCACCTGGATGAGTGATGCCCCTGAAGGACTTGAACCTGATCCATAGAGTAAGTGAGAGCTGCTTCTTGTTCATACACAGATCACTCCTTCCAGAAATAAAATTAAAAATG